TAAATGGTAAACAAATAATAAGACAAAAAGTTACATTGGAAATAAATTTTAGGGGTTGCGTTTTCCACCCCTTACAACCATGGGGTGAACCAAATAAATTACTGGCTAAGTGTCTTTTTGGTAGAACAAAACGTCAGGTCAATTTCAATATTGTAACTTTTTCAGTGCTTGTGAAAAAAATTGTTATACACATTTTATGTACCTTCTTTAAGGGGCTGTATCTTAACAAGGGATGCTCCAAAGAAGTTTCTTTATATGAAAGATCCTATCTTTTTTTCGATGAGGAATCACCTCCTTAAATGTTTTACACTTATTCAGTTACACCCTGTATATTTTTTCCAATAAGTGATACAATAGAAAGAGTTGTTTTTGTAACCGTCAGACATTGAAGACAGTGTTAATTTTCTCCTTCTTTTTTTAGATGAGAACTATCTAGATGTTTTAGGAAATTCTGAAGTTCTTTTTTTCCGTGGCTCCAAACATGGCTTTTTTGCGTCACTGATTTCCATTAATTTAGGAATCCCCATTCGGTAAATCTTGGTAGGTGATCCCGTGACTTACAGTTGGGATCCGACTCATAAAAATCTTTTGCTGATTATACAAAAACGTTCGTATTTTTTAAGTCCGCTCTTGGTCATGCACAACTAACTTCAGCAATAGATCAGGTCACTTAAATGTCAGATTAGTTCGAAAAACAAACGGTTTGAACACAATTAGATTAATAATCAGTCACTACTTTATTTTTCAAGGTTATTATTAATTATTGTTCTGATAGGTAGTTTCATAATAATTCAGACACATCTTACGCATTTATAGTGTAACTTCTTCCCAGTAGCTTTTGTTGCAATGAACAAGGACGTTGATGATGATAATTGACCTTGTTTTCTACCATTAGCCAGACTGAGAAACGTCGTATATTGCATTGATATTCCGAATGTAAGGTCATACTAATTTCAATATTTTTCAGAGATGTTCAAAATACGCTTCTTCGAAAACTTATTTGTCTACAAGTAAATCCAAAACAAACAACTTTCGCAATCACCAGAAATGCAATACGTCAATTCGAATGATGTTTTGCCATTCGAATTGACGTCTTCAGGATTCGCCATATGTCTATGAATGTACTTTTTTAAATGTCTAGGTTAGGTTTGAACCAAGCTCACAACTTGAGCCACACTTAAATGGTGTTCAATCTCAAAGTAAAACAGTGTTCAATCCAAATGTGATTATTATATTTTGAAGTAATTTGTTCCAAAATTACTTTTACTAGCTAGCTGATGAATGTTAACCATTTTTGGCAACAAACTTATCATATACAGCCGAAACAAAAACTACCTACGCCTGTAATACGTCGTAATCATGATTGAACTCGCGGTCCTTTGTCAAAAAACGGTTAGCAAATGTTGAATTGATGTTTTTATTCAAGAAACTACTTGTGTTCTTTTATTCCTTTGAAGAAAATTCCTCCCATTTAGGCCAATATAAGGTTTGGGGCCAAACCGCAAGTCAACTTAATTGACAAAGAGCAGATGACATATATATGAAGAATGAAGACTTACGAGTAAATCCGATGACATTGGATGACAATAAGTAGTTTTATAATATATATAAGTCACTCGTATAAAATTTATTCATGTGAGTGTGTTAACCTGTAAAATATATTCTAGTTCACTGATTTCATGAATAAATGAATAAATGAATATTCGACTCACAATTTGTTATGTGCCTCATTATAATTCGAGTATATTACAAGGTAAATCTCATGCGATAATTAATATATGACTGTTTTTTTTTAATGTGGGTTCAATTATGTTCAGTTGCAAAGACAAAACTTAGGAACCTAATTATTTTTTTCACGAGTAGGCACCGATCATTCGATTGAATAAATTAATCCATAAAGCAAAAGAGTTATTCAATGTCGCCTGAAATACAACTCGAAAACACAATATAGTGCTTAATCTGCCACTCAACTCAGATACTGCAATTATTTCAACACACCACCTTTCTCTTCACTTGCTATCTATCGCTGTTGTGTCTGGACTAAATCCGATTTCTTGGCGCGCTCTGCGAAACCTTCAAGAACCATGAAGAAGTTCTCGGAATAAATTTATTTTTCTCGCCCTTTCTAACTTCTAGATCATCCATCTCGCTATTCAACCTCTCCAGAATGATTCATCGTTGTTTACAGTACATTCTTGAGGGACACACACTCTTTTCTATACAGTTTGTACTCCAAACATTCCTCAAGGAATTGAATCAGATATAATTGAAGGATTGCTACACAATAAATATACTCTTGCCTAGCTGTTGAAATTTCAAGCCCACAAGAAGCCCCGAGTCTGATTAAGATACGTGGACGACTCCTTCATAATATGGAACCATGGGAATGCAGAACTAGACACCTTCCTGAAGCCTCACGAATACCAGGACACCAAACGTGGACTGCAATTCCAAGAATTGCATTTACGGAATACCCTGCGAGTGCGGAGAATCATACATCGGTGAAACTAAGAGGCCGTTCAAAGTTCGCATTAAGAAACACACACAAATCAGGAATGGCAGAGCATGTTTTGAAATTATCCACAAGGAGAAACACTGGTTTAGGAAAAATTCAAAGAAGCCACATATATGTTGTCCAACAAAGTATTTCGCCAAGCCTGCGTAGAGATACGCAACATATGGAAATCTATAATCAAGCGGAAAACGACCAACTCCCGCCAAATGGTCAGCACCCGCTAAAACCGATGAGGCGTTAGAGAGGAAAGAAGGGATAGATGAAAGCACTCGAATGATCTATAAATAGTCAGATCTCGGAGAAATAAGTCCACATTAGATTAGAAAGTAAAAGCATCTAAAGGCTGACTTTCGACTGAAAGAGGTTAGATGTCAATCTTGCTGAAGTGCCCATCAGTGAGTTGAGGACCGCTCCAGAGGTCGAGAGAGGATGTTCTGCACACAGTAACCGGGTGGGGAAGATCTCAACTCAAGGCACTCAACCCGGGAGGGGACGTGGGGGTGAATAGGTCGAGTTATCACTCGAAGATATTACACAATTTCACAAAAATGCAACACCTGTTTCGTCACACAATGGCTTCTTCGGGCTTCTTCAAAAAAAAATCTAACGGTAAACATTTCTGGATCAACGTTAATAGAAACGTTAATTCTATAGAAATCTTTGGAAATTCATCTTGTATCTTGAATTCTATTTTTGTACTCAATATAGCGTACACCCCCTCGAAAAGAAGTGGCATTATTAACTTTAATATTAATAATTTAAAAATTCTCAATATCTTTATTTATTGAACGATGCGATTGTGAATGTTTATAGAAATGAAATCGATATTTTTGTTTCACAGGAGAAATCTGCAGCTAATTCGCATCACAGGGTGTTTTTGGAACTCTCTTCCCAGCCAGGATGAAGCTCATCACAAAATTAATGGAAGGATGGAAAGAAAATTAAACTCCCGAGCTTACAACGGTTTGAACACCTAATGGCAGATAACTTATGTCCTGAACGAATTTTCCACCAGGTCTACTAATCTACTAATCCACCACGTATTTCGATACATGTGTCGTAGCGCTTACGAATGTTTCTGATTACGTTCCTTAGTTCTTGAGGGCTAATATCTGCACATACCTGTCGAATTCTTGCACAAAGTTCATTTCTATCTCTTGAGCGGTTTTTGTAAACCTTTTGTGTGAGAAGTCCCCAGAGAAAAAAGTCCAAAACTGTGAGGTCTGGAGA